GAGCACCACGCCACCTGAAGCCCCGCCCCCCCTCCGAGCGCCGCGCCGCCGAATCAAAATAAATAAATAATCGAGCGCTGCCCTGCCCCAAGGTGCCGCCCCAAGCACGTGCTTGGTCGGCTGGTGCCTGAAGCCGGCCCTGGCAGGAGGGGGGTCAGGGCTCTGGGCTGTGGCCGGGGATAAGGAGTTTGGGGTGCAGGAAAGGGTTCGGACTTACCTCCGGCAGCTCCTGGTCAGCAGTGCAGCTGGGGTGCAGAGGCAGGCTTCCCGCCTGTCCTGGCAACGTGGACCACACTGCACCCCGGAAGTGGCCAGCAGCAGGTCTGGCTCCTAAGCGGAGGTACACAAGCGGATCCGTGTGGCTCTCGCCCACAGGCACCGGCCCCCCCAGCTCCCATTGGCCGGTTCCCACCTAGAAGCCGGACCCACTGCTGTCCACTTCCGGGGCGCAGTGTGGGGTCAGAAAAGGTAGGCAATAGCTGCCTTAGCTGGGCAGCAACGCTGATGGGGCTTTTAACATCCCGGTCAGCGGTGCTGCCCAGAGCCACTAGGGTCCTGGGTGCTGAGCAAGGCGACCCAGTGCCTTAAATGCCATGACCCAGTACTGGGTCTTGACCCAAACTTTGAAAAACACTGGACTAATGTAATCTCTCTGTTTGGTTCGCGTAGCTTTTCCCATCAGCATTTATCAAAAGCCGTTGTGACAACTTATGAACTTTTCCATCCCATTGACACAAATTTGTAGCTCCAAATATTACAACAGGCCCAGGTCCTTCCTGGGATATTTCCCTCCCCCCCCCATGTCTCCGGCTCACAGTCTGAGCTGGGATCCTGCCCCCGCTCTGGGCTTCTGAGGCTACACCCAGAGGCTGCTCTAGGCAGCTGCTGAAGGTGGCAGATTTTGGGACTCCCCTGCTTCCTTCCATGGCCTTTGGACATAAGTGGAGCAACCCACCTGGCTCCATGTTGGGGCCCGGCCCCCACAGGCCCTGCTACCCAGGCAAACATGGCTCCTGTAGCTGCAACTTCAACAGCTGAGGAGCTCTTGTGGAAATAAGTGAGGGGATGGAGTGTTATTTGTATTTATTTATGTAAGCAGAGTCAGGATAAGCTCTACCCTGACATCTGGTGGTGAATTATGGCGAGGGTGGAAAAGAACTTCAGGGGCTAATCTTGTTTTCATAGGCACACCCACCCCACCTAGCCTGGGACAACAACAACTGAAAGTGGTTACTTTGGCTGGTGTGGAATCCCCAGTTTCTCTGTTATTGGGACAGGAAGAATAAAGTGTTGTTACCCTGATTCTGTGAATCAAGGCCAGTGGAACTGTTGTATGACAGAGGGAGTCACCAGTAACTAAGTAGCACTCGCTAGACAAGGGGCATGGGTTACAAAACCCAGTAAATTAAGAGAGGTTGGGGGAGAGGTATATGTACCTGATGGTATGGGCACCTTTTGAGGGCTGGGAGCACTAATTGCACTATTTCCCTCTCCATGCTGAATAGCAGAGCTAAGTTTGCTTTCATTAGGAATTTAGCTAGAAGTTGTTGAACTGAATTCACTTTGGGCCAATGGTGCACCAGCACTGGGGCTCCCATACTACTTGCTAAAAATGCTGAACTGAGATCACTGAGTGCTGTGTTAACCAATGCAGGAGCCTGAAGATATATTGCTAAGTAGCTGGCAGAGCCAAGCCGTTTGTGGGATGGTGGAGTGGCCCATGGAACAGTGAGCGGAGTGGCACAGAGCGGAGCTGAGCCATTTGCGGGGGCAGCTGGAGTGGTTCATGGGATGGCTGGTGGAGTGGAGGGGCTGGCAGAGCTGAGCAGTTTTGCGGGAATGGCTGGAGGAGCAGAGTGGAGCGGCGCGGCGCAGCTGGTAGCGCGAAGCCATTTGTGGTAAAGGTTGTAGCAGAACTCCACAGAGAGGTGGGGCAGTCGGCCTCGGACCACGTAAGGTGCCCTTTAGCATCCCGTGTGCCCCCCCCCCATTTCCGCCCAGGCGGGGAGGTAAAACTCTGCAGATAAACTTTTGAACTCTGGGGCAGCACTGACCAGGGACAGAGACTTTGGGGTTGTTGGACTTTGGGGTGATTGGACTTAAGACCCTGAGGGGAAAAGGACACTGCCAAACTTACTTGGAGGTGGGTCTTTTGCTCCTGGTTTGTGTTA